ACACTTTTACTGCATGACGAAGGAATTCAGTAAAAGTGTTGTAAAGCCTACATACTAAGTGCGGCAGATTTTTAGCTGTGAGTGAAATGAAGTAGATCAGTCAGTTGGCACGAGACAATGTTTGAACAATAAATGCTGCAGCTGTCAACTATTAATTGATGTTGTTATTGGTGAGGGTGTTAAATAGATAGACATCACGATAGCCCAAAGCAGCGTCTACTTGCCAGCGTCCTTTACCAGATCATACCGATGGTATATATTTATTTTATTAGGATGACGAATTACAAACACAGCACCCAGAGATTGAAAATTATCGGAATAACAGAAAAAGACAAATTCCGTGTATTTATCGTATTTTTCATCGCCTCTAATCCGAGTGTAATTACCCTTTGTGATTTTGATAGCCTTTTTAAGTTCTTAATTTGGGCAGATTTGTCAAACAATTTATTAAATGGCTAAAGTATTTGGATATTTTGTTATTGGGAGAATCACATTCTGCACACGAATGAACACATGTAGAACAATGTTACCATACAGACTATAGTAAATTACACGTGATTAAGGTTGGGGGCTAATTCCATGTATTTGATATATGTGTGATTATGTGAATATATATATGTACATCATGTATATTCTTTTAAGATAAATGTCCTAAAAGACATGAATTGAAAAAATTGTATAAATGTCTTGTCTGTCGTTCATGGGTATCTAGTTTGACCCAACACCTGTTGTTTCAGGGGGTTATCACGCTTGACTGGTTCACCAACGCCATATAATAATGGGAAGATCCCAACTCCGCATTATCAGCCTTTGAGTTTTACGATTAAATGTTAAGATATCATTACAATGCTTAACGCCACGTTGTCAATGGTTCACGCTGTCAATTTACGTTATAAAGAGAAAGTGGAAAGTTTTACTGAAGCTTAATGAAAATGGAAAAAAAAGTATGCATATGTTGACGTTTCTGTAATATCTTTGATTGTTTATTGTTTAACACCACACATGTGTCAACCAAGTCAGTGGACCTGACCACCCAATCCTGCGTGGTGTTGCTGGAGACCAATTTTAACCGGGACCTTCACGGGTCGTAATGTAACGTAACGTGATGTTAACGCTATACCAGGAAGCGTTCATAAAATTATTTCAGAAGTCGGCAATTTACTTATCATGAATAATTATGTTACTTTGTTGTCTTAAGAATACTATGTTTTACACTCTGTATGTGTGTGGGCCATCGCTACGCCAAGAACTCCACAAACCAAGGACGAGACTCAATCCCCAATTACAGCCGTCTGATTTCATTTAAGACCGATGAATTGCTCACTAACACAAAATCTAATAACTACAACAAAACCAAAGTTTGCACAGTCACATGAAATCAAAGGGGGCCACTTGCTGGTAGAACAGCCAGGTGTGTGAGTTGCACGTGTGAAATTAAAGTTTCGCTACACACGCTTGTTGACTACCTGGCTGTGGTCCAGCAAGTGGTCCCCCCTTGTAAAACATAACAAAAAGTGACTCAAAATAATGATCGTTTGTAAAACAACTTTTTTATTCGTGTGTCAAAAATTATGAGACAAATCATCAGAGTTGGTCTGTCGATTTCATGTCACCGTGCAAAATTTGGGTTGTTGCAATTATTACATTTTGTTACCGTGGACTGGTTGTTGCTTTTGTTATTGTTTTTCTCCCGTGAGTACCCGGATGATATCCCAAAATTCTTGCCTGGTTCGTGACCTCTGCTGCGCCACCCGCATGCGCAATTGAAGGTATTAGTATAGATTGATCAACAAAGATGAAATCGTTTTTACTCGATAATATTTCCATCTTCATTATTATGATAACAATTGAAAACATTTTGAAGTTTAACCATCTGCCAGTGGTAAAAATGGTTAGGACTAAAAAATAACAAAGTCAAGGTACGTCTTTATATTTTGTCTTATAATCCTAATTAGTTTATTTTCATATTAAATTTTGAAAGTGATCTGCTTATACGTATGGTGAATTTGACTGTAATATCTTGACATTTTATAAACTGCCATCCTGAATCATATTTCACACACACGCCCTAAGTGCGACCTCGTGTATGTTCTGTCGGTCTACTCCAATTTGTGAGAACTCCCAATTGTGAGACTCCCAGTTGTGAGACATTGGAGTAGCTAATTAACAAAGAAAATACACCATACTCCCCTATCGGTGTCCTCCCATTTGTGAGAACTCCCAGTTGTGAGACACATTAATTAATGGTTCAGTGCACACAGGTGGTGCTTCCCCATCCCTACGATGAAAGTGGGAACAGCCCTGTTGCTGAAGAGTACCCGCAGGAGGCATAGTTCATTAATGAGTTAATTAACACAGAAGACATTGTTTGCTGAAGAGCATTTATTGTTTTCAATAGATACTGAATTACTGAAAAAGATTATCCTGAACTGGTGATATATTCTACTTGTTAAAGGCCTGCCATAATGGTGATCGGAAAAAGCAGTCAAAGGTTAATAAATACATTTGGATTAATTATAGTTACAACAGTTATTGCTAGATTTTTCAAACACGTAAATCTGAGTAGGTAAATTAATTTCTCTTTCAAATGATCACGAAGTTACCTACACAAAGTGTTCATTTTTTAAAGCCATTTATCTGAGTAGGTTAATTACTTTATCTTTTAGAGTTTCATTAAGTTACCTCCGCAAGCTTCAGTTAAATAGCTAATCTATAATTAGCTGGGGTTAATCCATTCTATCAGATAGGGGAGTAAGGTGTGTTTTCTTCGCTAAGTACTTACTCCACTGTCTCACAACTAGGAGTCTCACAACTGGGAGTTCTCACAAATGGGAGTAGACCCCCCTATCTGATAGAATGGATTAACCCCAGCTCATTAGGGATTAGGGGCAGCCAGGTGTACGCGGAGCACGTGCACAAGTGCCGACAAAGTTATTGAATCATTTACCTGTGCTGTGCTGTCTCCATCCTTTCTCGCACAACTTTGTCAAACTTTTAATGACAGTTTGTTAAACAACTTTTTTATTTTTAGGACATAAATTCGGCAAAAAGATCACAGAGTTGGTCTGATGTTTTGATTATGATCAGTGTTTCATCAGTATTATATGTTTAGTAATTTTCGAGTTAGATTGCAATTCATCGGTCCGATTTTGAGCCAAACGGACTATATAATGAACTATGCCTCCTGTGGGTATTCTTCAACGACAGGGCTGTTCCCACTTTCATTGTAGGGATGTAGAAGCACCACCTATGTGCACTCAACCATTAATCAATGTCTCACAACTGGGAGTCTCATTACACTTCACGGCGAAAAAAAATGATTCTGTTGAATGCTACAACGTCTCCTGGCGTTCTTTGTTACCGCCAGGAGACGATTGCGTCTTGTGCCTGTTTTGCCACTATGTGAAACTTGTATTAAAATACCACTGATATAGCTACGAGACAACTCGTAGTGACAAATTTGGCCAGACATTGATACTCCGAGTATACTCGTGGTGACAATCACCGTGTTAAGCACCAGAATCTGAACTTCACTGAGAAATAGTATATATAAGCACACCCATGTAAACGCTGTGATACTGTATTAATGTTTATAAAGGCCGCTGCAAAGTCAGCGTCTAAATAACGTAAAGTCGGAGATGTTTATCATATGTGTTGGCAATTAATGGCAGTTAGTAAATGCAGAGCTGTATCATCCCAATAACATTTTTTTTTGTTCTAGATCTTTCATATGTGTGATAATCCTTTTATGTTTTTGCTTATATTTTATACATTTTATGCACACCTTGTCTAGTGTGTCTCAATGGCCATTTGGCCTGGTGTTTATATATGTTATGTTTTACCACTGCCTTTTTAATTGCAATGTATATTCACGTGACACAAAAATAAACAATTTTGTCTGTCTTGTCTTTTGCCTGTCTGTATGTGCATGAGTCAGAAGCTCCCGAGCTACTTGTTGACCAATCACCGTGTTTATACTGGACACACCCACGGTGCATAAACTCATGGTGGTGCAGTTACGCACATACTAATTGTTGTCAACTACCTTACATACATCGGACTTGTGCCAGAGACTACTATGATTAACATAAACAGAAACTGTATCAGGTGAAGGCAGCATTTCATTGGCTGTTATTTGAACCTTGTCTGCTGGTTCTAACCTGTCCGGTATTGCAGACGCGAGACGCAGCCAAAAAGTGCCAAACCAATAGTATTCGTGTGAAAAAGATATACTGAATTAAGTTCATATTTTCATTTTTAGATATTACATCACATCGACACAAAGGAATTGTATTCCATATGTTGTCAGAACAGTTTGAGAAAAGATACATCATTGAAGGGTTGAAAGGTTATGGAGGGTTTTAAAAACCCACCCAAATGCAAAAAATATAATAAGAAGAAAACTAAATAAATACATAAAAAACAAAAAAAACAAAGACAAAATAAACTCCCAAAAGAAATTCAAAGGAGGGATAACGGGTAATAATTGTATTCGTTACTTTCACATTGTGTATTTGCCGAATCTCAACGCTGATTGGTCAGACGAGGTACGACGTCACAATGCAATGTAGGCTGAAAACAATGCATTCATGATAATGACGTCATCATAAGATAAGTTATTATAAGGGTAATGCTATTTTTGAGGGCAATATCATTTGCAGAAGCCCGAGATCTTCCATTAACTGAAAAAACCCGAGGGCTTCTGCAAATGATAATGCCCTCAAACATAGCATTACCGTTATTATTGCTAAAATACATGGAATTTGTGTTGAAAAGAAACAGGAAACAATGAAGGAATTTGACTATAAGTTTACTCAAAACCAACGTCTGAGGGGCTTGACTGACATGAATTGTCCTCGCGATCTGCAAACAATCATTAAACTATATGCAGTTAAATGTAAACATTTGAGTAATTTCGAATTTCGTTTCAGTGTGTTTTTAATCATAGTTAATGCAGTTAGTTTTAATCATAATAGCATAACTCACAGCAGGCGAGACAGTGCTCAGACGGCCGGGCCTAATCTGTATTACAGACACTTGATTAAGTTGTCTCCGTCTCTGACATGCATGTATGTATTTGTAAATGGCGTTATTTCGTTGTTGATTAGTTATTTCCCTGTACTTTGATCAATTAGAAATAAGAAATTAGCATAGTTTAATGATTATAACGAGTGCATGTACACGAATTACATAGGAATATTCTAAGGCTGTCAGTGTCATCTTGAACAAAAGGAAGGCTCCTTGGGCAAGAAAACAATTCTCTCCAATTTTGACAAGGTAAGCACAACATATGGAAGAAGCTGCCACTGTTGTAACGGAAGCATTTATCCGTGACATAAGATTCTGATACTGAAACATGTACATATAATACACAAGTGATATAAACATGCAAATTAAAAACTTTCAGAGTTTTACGATCTAATTGGTAATGCTCCAATCAAATGATAAACAGAATTCAGAACAAGTGTTTCTTAATATTGGAAATGCCAACCTCGTCCATCAAGCTGTAGTTGCTTCTGCAGAAGCACCACAAATACTGATTAACTGAGACTCGGGAATATTTCCCATATAAAAAATACATTCGTGATGAATCCTCTCTACACAGAGATGCATTTCTGGATTGAGACTAGTGTTAATTTATATCAATATCCTAGATTTTATTTAAAATTAAAAACACCACTATAATTTTGCTACTGATGCAAATGTTATAGCTCTTATTAGTCTACAATACTTATACTTGTTGAAATTTTCTTTTATTTAAGACACCATTCATCTCTGACATCAGTGAATCCCAATTTATCAGGATGACGTTTAAAAACTGATGGCATCTGGGCAGCAGCATCTTCAAAATGAAGGTATTCACTGATTAACTCAATTATTAAAGAATCTGCATTGTTTTATGCTGTGTTTAATGTTTAAGGAACATTGTGGAGAATGAAATTTTGGCCTTTGGATTGTGGAGGATATTTACACAGGGGTGGAAATAATCCATTGCCCGACGCCCGAGTCCAGTGTTTTTTTCTGTCAGGCAAGCAAATTTGTATATCACACTGTACCGGTGTCCAGTTGATATTCCAATGTTAATTATGTTGTTTATTTAAAAAATCAACAAGAAAACGGCCGGTATAGTGGAAAAATTATCAGGGCAAGTGATTTTACATGTGCCACTGTACCGGAGTACACTAGCAATTTTAAAGTTATTTCCACCCCTGTTACAATGGTCCAACTTTTACAAGAAGAGGGTTGAAGAATCTGCAGTTATTGTGAAAGTACTGTGAAACTGTGAAATTCTAATGAGTGCGAAGTCCTATCCTGCCACCTTTTAGCATTATAGGTATATGCTGGTGATATTGCTGAACTTTATAGCCACAGTAGTAGCATAGCTTGTGTATTGCTGCATTTTCAGTGATATTGCTGAATTAAGGAATATGAGAAGCTCATATAGTGTATATGGTCCAAAGCTTATTCAGGAAATTCTCAATTTTCAAGAATGTTTCCATGGCTGGATATAACAGATGTCATGTTGGCCCAATACCCGGCCATTTCTGTTGTAAATGAAATTGACTTCAGCATATTTATATTTTATATTTCTGGCCCAACAACAGTATGACATTTTACCATTACATACGCAAGTTTATGTAGCTTTACTGCAATTTCAGTATGCTATTCCAAAACAGGTCCTTATAGTTCTGTAAATGTGACTCCAACAATGTTGTCTCTGAAACATGCCTCCTACTGAGTACTGACCCATCTCCAAAGATTGCTGTTATGGAAAGTTTCATGCAAAAGTTTTGTATACAGTTCTTATATTGTTTTCCAATAAATATTGTCTTCTGACCCCTGAAGATCTTGGGTAGAACTGATCTTCAGTAACCCATGCTTGTCATAAGAGGCGACTAACTGGATCAGGTGGTCAGACTCGCTGACTTGGTTGTCACGTGTCATCGTATCCCAGTTGCGTAGATCGATGCTTATGCTGTTGATCACTGGATAGTCTGGTCCAGATTCGATTATTTACTGACTGCCTCCATATAGCTGGAATATTGCTGAGTGTGGCATAAAACTAAACTCACTCACTCACTAATATTGTCTTCTGCTAAATCTTCTAAATCTTGACCTATATATGACTTATCTGATCTTACATAATATGCTATAAAATATAGATAATGACAGAGCATTACGGCTCACTTATTGTTTTTATTTGTTTAGATATAGCCACTTTTCGGTTACATATGAGTACTGGATTTGTCAATGTATCAACGTTCATGTACATGACTTTAGCATCGTGGTTACAAGTAGAGAATTCATTAATTGTGTTTTGAGTTCTGAGTTACAGTACTAGTAATTGCTATCGGTAAATGTTGTGAGGTAAATATTAAATTACAGGAAAATTAGAAAATGTGAGAAGACCTTTCTCTGTATTTACAATTTGTGAAATAATATACAATGCATTCATCAAAATGTAGCGACTAGCTGTCTTAGCTGTCTTACCTTTTCTGTCTCCCATTTACCTTTGCTTTCATTGTTAACAACTTTTCTTTGATAATGTGCATTTTTATGAAACATTCAAATATGTAACATTATGAAACATTCAAATACTATCCATAAACTATAGGGTTAGATATCACAGTCCAGAAAAATCATATGTACACTAGTTCAAACGTCAATTCTCGTTCACCAGTGAATTGTTTACCTCATCTGGACAGCATTGTTAAAATCACTCAAATTTATTGTGACTTAAGGCCAGAATGACATCACACTATTCATATGCTGTAAGTGTCTGTAAGCATGGAAAGTGATGATATACCAATATGTTGTATGTTGTGAGCATGGCACCATTAACTGGTTATCTGGGCATCATTTCATCATCTTAAAGTCACATAATACACATACATTCTGGGTATGTTACAGCCACTGTCAGACAGTTGTAAACAAAAGACAAGCATGTATCATTCTAAATGTTTAGGCATAGTTATACTAGTAACAGACATTATCCTTGGTTGTACATATTACCAACATTATAATTATTAACTAAAATAGAAAGGTCTGTACTACTCTTTCTCTCTCTTTAATACAACCCAGGGGTGGAAATAACGTTAAAATTGCTAGTGTACTCCGGTTCAGTGGCACATGTATAATCACTTGCCCTGAGAATTTTTCCACTATACCGGCCGTTTTCTTGTTGATTTTTTAAATAAACAACATAATTAGTATTGGAAAGTCAACTGGACACCGGTACAGTGTGATATACAAATTTGCTTGCCTGACAGAAAAAAACACTGGACTCGTGCGTCGGGCAATGGGTTATTTCCACCCCTGCAACCCACACAGACCTTGCTTGCACTGTTACACTTTCTAGCTTATCCTATGCTTATTTTATTGTGAGGTAAGGAATTATGATTATGTCGCTGAAAGCTAGTTGAAACTTTCTATTGTAGCCACAGAACCATCAGAAACAAGACAGGATGGGACTCAAAGGTTCCAAAATCAACTGGCTTCCTTACCTGCCAACACTGAAGTGGTCACAAGTTTGTCATCGTTTTACAATGTACACAACTTTATTGCTATTCATGCAGTATGTGGAAATCCACATGGGGAAGAATCGCCTGGAAGAACAGATGATGATGATGATGATGATGATGATGATGACTTTAACAGTGACCCGAATTATGGATTCAGTGACTTAGCTTCCCAGGAACATGGCAGTTATAACAGTGGTCCCTCAAGTGACATCAGATTGAATGACAATCTGGACTTGTCACAACTGGATGCTGGTGATGGAGTGATGGGATGCATGGGTGTAGGGAGGGGATGCACGGGTGCAGAGTTGTGCACTTCTGGGAGATACAACCAAGGTCCAAGCAGCTTGCCTGAGGGTGCGGAGTATTGTATGACAGGTGAAGCAAATGAACAGACAGGATTGAAGACAGCAGCTCCATCACGTTTAGCTGAAGAACATCGGGAGGCACAGCAGGTTAGTTTGTATTTGTGTGGTGTTGTGTTTGATGTCATTGTCAGCAGTATAATGTGTTTGTGTGGTGTTGTGTTTAATGTTATTGTCAGCAGTATAATGAATTTGTGTGGTGTTGTGTTTGATGTCATTGTCAGCAGTATAATGTGTTTGTGTGGTGTTGTGTTTGATGTCATTGTCAGCAGTATAATGTGTTTGTGTGGTGTTGTGTTTAATGTCATTGTCAGCAGTATAATGTGTTTGTGTGGTGTTGTGTTTAATGCCATTGTCAGCAGCATTTACTGCAGCTTTCTAAAAATATCAAGCCTAGCAGAAACACTGCTGACTGAACAAATGCCTAACATGACTAAACTTGGTCGCATAAAATGACATGCGGTCGACCAAGCCACAAAGGCTGACCTCTAAATCCAATTCAGTGACCCCCCTTAAAAAATCATCTCCCCCCCCCAAAAAAACCAAACAAACAAAACAAAACAAAACAAAACAAAACAAACAAAACAAAAAAAACCCCCAAAAACCAAACCATAAAATATGAACGGTCCCTAATTAGCTTTATTGTATTACAGCATCCTGCCCCAAACTGTGGCGAGTACTTTCCACTTCAAACCAACTCGTCCGGCTACATAACAGAAGCAATCAGCGCTGCCAATCTAAGAGGTGAGGGATCAGTGAGAGGTGAAAGAGTGAGGGAGCAAGTTGGGTTTCACATCTCTTTTGGCAATATTCCAGCAATATCACGGCGGGAGGCACCAGAAATGGGCTTCTCACATCGTACCTATGTGGGGAGTAGAACAACAACCTAAAGATTTAGAAAAATGAGCATGTTTTGAGAGTATTTATTGCGTAGTGGTGAAATGCATTCAAGAAAAAAACACTTTGAGTCAATCAATCACAAATATTTTATAAGTAACAAAGTCAATGGTATTTTTATAATTGTCTTTGTTTCAGATCAGCAGAATAGGTTTCGTCCAATACTGGAGGCCTTTCTTGAATCATTGCAAACTAACCGAAAAAATAACCAGCAGACAACAGGGCAACAGGTGGAAGACGTTGATGAGATTCCATCAACTGTGGCTACTGCCGATCAGTCTCCAGCCCCACCCCGTAGTCATACCCCAGCATCTGCACTGGCTGTAGTAGTAGCAGCGGGGAGCAACAGGGATGAAGAAGACGATGAAGTAGCTGGGTGTGATGGAGAGTTGAGAGATGATGATGAATTTGCTCTTAGTGATGAAGAGTTGACCGAAGCCATGAAGTAGCTGGGAGTAATGAAGAGTTGGGACAAGATAGTACAGATTATTAAATGTATGTTGTTTAATATTGAAAACTGAGAGTCATATTGAACAAGGTATAACAAAAAATTTCAAATGTTAATGAGTGAGTGAGTAAGTGAGTGAGTGAGCGAGTTTAGTTTTACGCCACTTTTAGCAATATTCCAGCAATATCACTGCAAGGGGACACCAGATGTTAATGAATTGTGGTCTGTTTACCTGTATGACAACAATGTAAAGGTATGTTAACCAGTTTCATTGTATTTTGCCCTGATAGCATAAGACTTCTATACGGGTATAGCTCAATTTTAGTCATGTGTGAAGCCCATTTCTGGTGTCCCCCGCCGTGATGTTGCTGGAATATTACTAAAAGCGGCGTAAAACCAAACTCAATCAGTCAGTCAGTCAATTTTAGTCAGGATTTCGAAGGTATTTTATTCTGTGAGCATCATGCTTGTATTCAGTATTCTGGGATATCTGTCTTAAGTCAACCAGCATAGTTACAGCAAGCAATTATATCTAAATTCTATCATAGTAGGAATAATTGTATTTCATGTTGGTTTAATAGATAAGGAGTTCCATGTTGTTAAAGACAAATAAAGTCCAATCAGTAGGACTGCACGGTAACCATTATGGCAGCATACCTGTGACTTTCAAATGATATGTCTTGCAATATGTTTTCTGAGAACCAATATTCTGGGTAAAAATACATATGAAGTTATTATCTCTAAAGTTTAAATTACAATCTACACAGACTTTCATTCACAAAGGATGTTTTCCTTTGTAATTTGTTGACAATATGACATACCTTAATGCTATAAATTGTATAAAAATGAAAATAGAATCCTTAACGATCCAACTGATCAGAACATGTTATTATAGCATCTGCATGTACAATCAGTGTCGCTTCAACACTTCAGTTCCCAATATATCGCGATATATATCGCAATGCAGGGTACCTGAATTGCAATAGATCACAATACATATCGCAATGCAGGGTACCTGAATTGCAATAGATCACAATACATATCGCAATGCAGGGTACCTGAATCGCAATAGATCGCAATACAATTTATCTTACCTCATATAAACATGTATCAATGTACCCTGCTTACAAGCAAGTAACACTTTCTATGTTACCCGTGCGGAATGCCTAACTGTGGGAATTCATTTGGTACTTGGTGTTAGTAGTGTTTTGGCTGTTGTCGGTATTGGCTAATTGCCTAACTCTGGTACTCCTTATTATGATCCGATACCCCTGCTTCAAACAGTTCAAATTAACATTGACGTGCTCGGTAAGATAAATAAATAACAATAAATAAATAAATAAATTGTTCACTGGTCCCTTGGGGCCCATGGCTTGATGTACCCTTTATACTTACTTATGTTGATAAACCCATGTCCCCCTTGTAACCAGTGAACAACTTATAATGTATGCCATTCCACAACACAGTCGGTACCAAGTTGGCCACTTCCACTTACCTATGATAACTATGTGTCATTCTTATCTCACTTTTGAGTGTATCAATTAACACAGCATTCCATGGGCAACATATCTTTGTAATCATTGTTGTGTTTTCACACGACAAATATGTGTTATCTCAAAGCATCATTTTGCTGCAGTCATGACTGAAAATCAAGCTATAAAAATTAAGAATTTGACCAGTTCTACATGGTTATTGTCTGTTTGCTAAACATTCACAAATCAATGATGAGTTGAAAACATTCCAATTTCTCACCAACAGGTTATCAAACATGAACCAGCTTCCAAACTGTTTTTCTCAGTATTCCTAAAAAGACCTGTTAGAATTTGCAAACATGTGTTAGCAAACTTATGCTAGCTGTGTGGGCTGCCTGTTGAGCTATTCCTGGTTTTGTTGTTGAATAGTTTTACAAAGGAGCAATGATTGTCTGGTCATGAGCTGCACATGCAGTTATGTCTGACATCATAACTACCCTTGCATCATCAGTGACCTGGTAATGCTATGAATACTATTGGGGTTTAGATAGAAGTTTTAAGAAATAAGATGACTATATGTTAGGCCTTTTTTCATGTTCTTACTTATACTGTCATAATACGTTTCATGTTAAGGGAAATGAATGTGAACAACAGAAACAATAGTAACGCATAAGTCTGAAGTAGACTTGACATTTATAAATGAATAATACATGTTAAGAACAAGTAAACATGACTTAGATGGATATATCAAACTGGACTAAACATGTCAATGTTGACATGACCTATCAAAGTAGACCTCACAAAACATCTAAGAAGCCGTATCAAAGTAAACATAACAAAACATTATTAAAGTAAACATAACAAAACATTATTAAAGTAAACATAACAAATCATTATCAAAACATAACAAAACATTATCAAAGTAGACATAACAAATCATTATCAAAGTAAACATAACAAAACATTATCAAAGTAAACATAACAAAACATTATTAAAGTAAACATAACAAATCAGTATCAAAACATAACAAAACATTATCAACGTAGACATAACAAATCATTATCACAGTAAACATAACAAAACATTAAAGTAAACATAACAAAACATCAAAGTAGACATAACAAATCATTATTAAAGTAGACATAACAAAACATTATTAAAGTAGACATAACAAATCATTAGCAAAGTAGACATAACAAAACATTAAAGTAGACATAACAAAACATCAAAGTAAACATAACAAAACATTATAAAAGTAGACATAACAAAACATTATTGAAGTAAATGTAACAAGACATTTAAAGTAGACATAAAAAAACATTATTAAAGTAAATGTAACAAATCATTATCAAAACATAACAAAGCATTATCAAAGTAGACATAACAAATCATTATCAAAACATAACAAAACATTATCAAAGTAGACATAACAAAACATTATTAGAGTAGACATAACAAAACATTCAAGTAAATGTAACAAATCATTATTAAAGTAAACATAAATCATTATCAAAACATAACAAATAATTATCAAAGTAGACATAACAAAACATTATTAAAGTAGACATAACAAAACATCAAAGTAGACATAACAAAACATTAAAGTAGACATAACAAAACATTATCAAAGTAAACATAACAAAACATTATTAAAGTAAACAACAAATCATTATCAAAACATAACAAAACATTATCAAAGTAGACATAACAAATCATTATCACAGTAAACATAACAAAACATTATAAGAGTAAACATAACAAAACATTATTAAAGTAGACATAACAAAACATTATTAAAGTAGACATAACAAAACATTAAAGTAGACATAACAAAACATTATCAAAGTAAACATAACAAAACATTATTAAAGTAGACATAACAAAACATTATTAAAGTAAATGTAACAAATCATTATCAAAACAACAAAACATTATCAAAGTAGACATAACAAATCATTATCAAAACATTATCAAAGTAGACATAACAAAACATTATCAAAGTAGACATAACAAAACATTATCAAAGTAGATGTAACAAAACATTATTAAAGTAAATGTAACAAATCATTATCAAAACATAACAAAACATTATCAAAGTAGACATAACAAATCATTATCAAAACATAACAAAACATTATCAAAGTAGACATAACAAAACATTATTAAAGTAGACATAACAAAACATTATTAAAGTAGACATAACAAATCATTATCAAAGTAGACATAACAAAACATTATTAAAGGAAACATAACAAATCATTATTAAAGTAGACATGACATATCAAAGTAAACATAACAAAACATCAAAGTAAGCATAGCTTAAAACAGACATTATATATCAAGTTAGACAAAATCTATCAAACCAGTGTATGAGAAGGTTGATTATGGTTGCTTCTTCCATGTGACAATCCATATATGTAACTGTAATATAAAGAATTGCATTGCAAAACAACATTAATTTTGTTGGGGAAAGGGGTTGCACAACTTCTTCTACTCTTGATGCACACATGGGAATCAGTTTGTTTTCTGAGCCATTTTGCTTTAAGCTTTTGCATACATGCATGTGTATTTTTTTCATTGTGTTGTGGATTACATGCATAACAACACGTAACCTGCTCTCTATCCATGACTGCAGGTAAGTGTTTTGCGTGTTGAGGTATTTGCTCTGTTGATGATCAGTTCATCATGTTCACCATCAACAGTCCCTGTATTGTTGGACTGATGGTGTTCATAGTTTCAGTACAATGGTCATCAGATCATAGAATATAAATGAAGTAATATTTATTAATCTAATTATTCATGTTTCTATGAACATGGAACCATGTTAATGCATGCAATTTTGTATGATTCTGAACTCGAAGCTGTCCATGATGCTGCCAATGCTAATGTCAGAGGAAGCAAAATATTTGTTCACAGTTCTGACTTTGTGACAGGATTTGTCAAATCTCGACAAACAAGAGACAGACAGCCAAAAAATATATTTTAAAAAGTTTAAAAGTTTTCTTACTTATTGTGTAGCTTGTAAAATTTTTGTAAAATTGTGTTGTTTGGTAATTTTATTTAAAGGTCACATGCAACGTAAAACACGACTTTGCAGATTCTGATACCTTTCGGTATGGACTTACTGAAACAAATAATCAAAAATGCAAATTCAACTTATAAAGTTGAAAAATAACACGATGAAAAAAACCTCGCGAAATCATAGTTCAAATGATTCACTAATTTTCCCCCAGCGTTTGGGGGGGAATTCAAGTGGTTTCAACAGCTGGGCTGGGCTCATAGCACATGCGCAGTGAAATAGGTTCGCGCAACTTGGAAGCGGGTTGTCCGGTGAATACTCGGTGAAGGCTTTGGTGTGAGCTATTTTTCCACTGTTTTGTTGATATCTCACTCGTGCAAGCTTTTTATATGTTATGACAGTAAATTAACTGTTTATATAATTTCATTTGTCTATTTCACCACACGTTCTTCTTACCGAGTCACTTTCTCAGTTCGATACTTAAAAGCAATGTCATTATTTAGCGTTGACAGAATTTCTAACTGTAATATAGATATGTCGGTGTCACAGACAAAACTCAATGTCTTGTTTTATTGACACCTGTGTGTCTGCCTGCCTGTCTGCTAATAACAATATTCAATACACAACTGCGATCACTCACCACATGCAATTTGAAGTTAACACCAATCAGGCTATACACCATAAATAAAATGCATTGATTTATGGCCCGAGTTCGGTCGCTGTCACATTATGTAATTACACAGACAGGCAGGTGTGATACTTGAACACATGACATGTTATGAAGTCTGTTGATTGCAAAATGTTATACCAAAAAAAATGAGCATGTATTTACAAAACCCAACATCTCTATATATATACACACACTATGAGCCGTGAGGGCATCTGCAAATGAACCAGCCGTTACACTTGAGTGCACACCTGCCTGCTCTGACTGGGTTCGGTATCCCGGCTGCTTCCTTACTTGGGAAGTAAACCCAAGTACACAATATTGCACTTTTAATTTGCAA